GTTATTATTAATTTTATTATTATGTTATAATTATATTTCTACTTTGAAGAAATTTTTTAAATTTATTACATAATTTCGTTATTTTAACTATTTAAAATCTAGTTATGATAAATATTTAGTTATTTAAATATTTAAATAATCTATAAAATATTTAAAATTTTTTGTTATTTTAATTTTATTTATTTAAAGCTATTACATATTATTAAATATTTGAAAAAAATTAAATTCATAATCCGAATTAAACATAATTTAAATTGTTAGTACATAATTTCGTAATATATTTTGTAAAAATATAAAATTATTTTTTGTGTTTTTAATATATATTTTAAAGTTATTATATAATGTTATTAGAATATTTAAATAATTCTTAAATTTTTTAATCCAAACTATCTTTATATAGATATAGATAAAAAGTAGGGAAGAGGATAAATAGGAATTAGAGATAATTTAGGAGAGAAACTCCATCGCCATCCCCGACGTTGACCCCAACCTTAACCGAGGATTCCTATTAATCCCCGCCCCCGCCTCGCCAAAACAGTCCCCACCCCTAGCCCCATTAGGTCGGGGAAGTCGGGTCCCCATCGAGGATGGGGAAAATTGCCATTCCTAAAAGTATGTTCTAATAAATGACCATAATAGAAACACATAAGAGTATACAATTGTTTTATATTTTTAACTTTTTAAATAATTAATAATTATTCATATTTTATATACTACTTTTAATAAATTTTTTATAGTACAAAAGTAACAATAATTAATTTCAGTTAGGTTTATTTATCAAACTAATGAAACCGACCAACTCGATTAACTTGACTCGAGTTGGTTGATTTTCTAGTATTTTAGGTTGGCTTTCGTTCAAAAACTTTCCAATTCGACCAAGTTGGATTAGTTTCACTTTAGCCATTTGTAAACCAACCAAAATCGAACGACCTAACCATGGATATATATCATTAATCTAATTTTTAAATTTATTTTTTAATAATTGCGCTATAATTTTTAAAATTAAATTAAAATTTTAAATTTGAATATTTTGATCAAACTAACCAAACCAAAAAATTGACCCAAACCTATACAACTTGAGTGGGTCGGTTTTCACAAAAGGTTGGTTGGTTTCAGCTGACCAACTCCCTAATCTGAACAGGTCAATTTGGTGGGCCAAATAGCCTATGACCAAACCGATCCAACTCATGGGCACTCATTATTTCAGCTAAATTAATAGTCTTATCTCTGATTAATAACAATAGTTTAATCTTTGATAATTATTGAAAATATATTGATAATGAAAAATACAATAATTACAAAAATTCAATAAGTACTAAAGATATATTAACTTAGTCAATAAATAGTATAATCTCAAATAATAGTTTAATCTCTAATAAATATTAATCAATAACTTATAACGAAAGTACAATAAATTAAATTTAAAAATTTCAATAATAGTAATCTAATCTCCAATAATTATTGAAAGTTTTCTATTAAATAAGAAAACAAATAGATTTATACATAATCATTGAAAATGCATTTTTCACAAAAGACAACAAACATTAATTTTAGTATATATAATTATATAATAAATACAGATTAAGAGTTTAAAAATATTATTAATAAATATTAATTTTTTTGAAAGTTACTTTCTCGAATTATTACTTGATATAAGTGAAATTAATTATTTACTATATTATGTAAAAATATTAAATTATTATTAATTTCAATATTATGTTATAATTATTTTTCTGCTTTTTAGAATTTTTGTAAATTTATTACATAATTTCTTTATTTTAACTATTTAAAATCTTTATTTAAAATATTTAGTTATTTAAATATGTAAATAATATGTAAAATATTTAAAAATTGAATTTAATTATCCGTAAAATCATAATTTATATTATTATTACATAATTTCATTATTAATTTTGTAATATATTAAATTATTATTAATTTCAATATTATGTTATAATTATTTTTCTACTTTGACTAAAATTTTTAAATTTATTGCATAATTTCGTTATTTTAACTATTTAAAATCTAGTTATGATAAATACTTAGTTATTTAAATAGTTAAATAATCTATAAAATATTAAAAATTTGTTATTTGAATTTTATTTATTTAAAGCTATTATATATTATTAAATATTTAAAAAACATTTAAATTGATAATTTAGAAAAACATAATTTAAATCGTTAGTACATAATTTTGTGATATATTTTGTGAAAATATAAAATTATTTTTTGTGGTTTTAATAAATATTTTAAAATTATTATATAATTTTGTTAGAATATTTAAATAATTCTTAAAATTTTTAATCCAAACTTTCTTTATATAGATATAAATAAAAAGTAGGGGAGAGGATAAATAGGCATTAGAGATAATTTAGGAGAGAAACTCCCTACTAAATTAGAGATAATTTTGAAGATAAATAGGAATTAGAGATAATTTAGAAGATAAATAGGCGTTAGAGATAATTTTGGAGAAAGCGGGGGAGGTAGTTTAGAAGAAATTTTAGGAGAAAAGATTATTTAGATTATTGGGAAGGTGCATCTCATTGGTTGTTTCAAAAATGACAATAAAAAATAAACAATTCAAAAAAAGGAAAAAATTTCTGGACCGCTTTGTTTTAGTATATATTTATATATTACATGTATTATAGAGTCGGGTTTGGGTTGCCTAAGGGATCAACCCTAGCCCAACCCAAAGTAAAGTTGGATTCATGAATTTCAATCCTAATCCTAACGTGAGCATCAACCCGACCCAACCCAACCCAACTTTTTCGGGTTGAGTTAGGGTTGGATTCAGGCCAACCAAGTTGCAGCATTACTTAGGGGGTCTTTGTTGAGAGGTGGATTGGATATGGACCTAACTTGCAGCATTTGTTTTTTTTTTCCTTTGTTGAAAAGTGTCTGTCCTCGTAGCTTCAAGAAGAAACAGTTCACCACTTATTCCTTCAATGCCTATTTGCACGGGCTGTTTGGTGTGGTGCCCAGATTGGCTTGAACCCCTCATCCATAGCCCAGCATCCCATCCATACTATCATCATGAATTATTTGAGAATGTCAACCAAGAACCTATGCAGGTGGTAAATTCAGCATTAAAATTCCCACTGGAGTATCCACCGTTTAGGCCTCCGCAACCTCGTCATCAACCATTACATCCCAATAATATTCCATCTTTGTTTACTGATGACTCTTTTGATCCAGATTCAGGTAACGCAGAACAAGGGTTCATCCTCCAACATGCCAACAAACAATATACCAATGCAAAAGGCAGGCCTTGGGCTCTCACCAGCTATGATGCTGAAATTTGAGCCTTGTTAAGAGGACACGTGGCCCTTTCAAATGGCATAACACATCTTTTGGTACACTAGATTATGCTGCCTTAGTAGATTCTGTGAATACAGGGACCAATGGCGCATTATCTAGTGTACCAAAAGTAGATTCTGTGAATACACAAATGCCAAACGTTTGGGTCTATACCTAGTCTACTTGCAAAAATGTCTGTCCATATTTACACCTCCAAAGACCCATGATAGGGACCAATGGCGCCATTAAGTGGTACAAACAGTTAAGCAGCCTCAATAGATGCCCATAAATTGAAGTGAATCTTTTATTGTTGGCCAGAAAAGAAAAGGAAACTAAACAATCAATAGATCTCCCTGTTCAACACAGTAAAATAAATAACAGAAGTATTAGGGGCCATTACCCAATGTTGGTCCCAGATATCTGGGGTCTTGTGATGAATGGACTGGATATAGACCTATGGCATTTTTAACCTAAATACTGAACTCTATTCGGAAAATAATACAAAAATAAACAAATGAAACATCAATGAGAACATGATACCTCGGGTCAATATTTACAGTCAGTTATGGTATATGCTCTAAAATTGTACTGTTGATCGTAAACTATCCTGTGGTAGAAGCTTTGGATTTGACATTTCGAGGAAGGCTAGTTCTGCGAAGCTGAGGATTTTCAATAGAATATACAAGAAGGCTTCCATCCTTGGTTCCGGCTAGGAAGCATTCCTCAGGCGTCACTGTTAGAGATGTTATTATCTTTCCAAGTCCATCATACCGTCTCACCACCTCAAGTGAGTTCATAGACCGTACAATTATTTGTCCTTGGTCACCTGCACAAACCAAGAATTCACCACAACTGCTGAGTTCAACACAGTTGAGGCGGCCATTGGATTCACAGGTGGCAATGTGTTTTCCATTAATAGAGTATAGGTGCAAACTCAAATCACCATCTGCATAAAGCACTATGCGACCATGCCGAGATGCAACCAGCTTTGACAAGGCACTGCCAGTTGGATGTTTAAGAGACCTTACATATCTTCCCTTCCGCAATGTATGGAAGACACAAGTTCCATCTTTTGATCCGCTGATAACTATATCAAGCTCTACACTGACAAATAAGCATGTAATGATGTCATCATGGCCACAGAGGATATGGAATGGAGTTTCAACAATGACACAATCTTTTCTGGGTAGGTCTGTCTGTGTGCTCCGAACCCTCTTTTCTGTTGCTTTGGCACGATGGACCTCCCACACCATTACTGTTGTGTCATAACTTCCAGTAGCAAGGATGCTTCCATCAGATGTCACTGCAACATTAATTGACTTCGATAAGGAAACAATCATCAAATACAACAATTTCAGAGTAAAATTTCTACTAGTGAGACCGAAACAAATATGACAAGGTTAAACAGCAGAAGGAATGATTGAATGGATGTTGCTTGTACTAAGCAAAACAAAACCAGGCCTATATATTTCAGAAATGATTGAATCAAATGAATAGGATGAACACTAGTTGATATAGAACAATTATGGTATAAATCATATAGCTACAAGAATAAATAATGACGCTGTAGAAAGTTAATTCGAAGCACATTTCGTGTTATAAATGTTCACTATCATGAGTAACCTGCAGTTATACAGTTTCGAGGAGTATGAACCCTCTTTCTCTCTAGAAAATTACCTGCATATCTACACATATGTGTCTCACTCAACAATGTTAACAGAAAAATGAAAGTAGACCAAAGTTTAACCTGCATTCTTTGCTTTTGACTTGGAACATCGTAAGAGATTCAAGTGCAACAAACAGAAAATTTATAGGATACTGCCGACTTGGAACATCCTATATATATGCCCTAAAATGAGGACTTCTACAGTCCATGTTCTTGCTAATATCGAGTCATTAAATGAAAGTAGTTCAATTATACCATTACTTCCAAAATTTGAAGTTTAATACCTGATTATTTTGCTCCACAAAACTTGTAACTTGAGAAGAAAGAGGGAATAAAAGAGAATGACCAGACGTATTTGGTGGGGATTTCTAAAATATCTCTCACCAATCAAGTGGCTGGATACATATAGATTACTACAAAATGTCAAGGTTTAAAAGGTTGAAGTTGGTAAAAATATTGGTCATCCAAATATAGGAAACATGTTAGAATGGTCAAAAACATCATATTGAAATATTATAGAAATCATAAACATGGTGGAAACATTGTGAAATATGCAAAAATATAGAATGCTATTTTATATAATAATAAAAGATGCATAAGGTAGACCCTTCGAAATTATTATCTTGTTCCGAATCATCCAAACTACATGATAGAGTGAACTCAGGCAAAAATTAAATTGATAGAAAGTGCAAATGATTCTAACCAATCAACCAAGTAATTTATCATAGAATAAAAACTAAGATTTAACTTCACATATGAAAAGAATTTTTAGCTGGCCCATATCTGGTGGCCAATAACATTAATACTGAATATTTAAAATATTGTTGCCAACTTATGTTATAATACCATGTCTTGTACTCCACATAGTATTGGTAGCTTTTATTGGGGAACATGTCAATTCTAGTAATAATTCATGTTGGAAACCATGCAAATGGAAATATTAGGAAATTTATGGACATTTTAAACCATAAATAATGTCCAATAACATGATTATCCTTGCCAAGTAAAACTAAGGACTAGATTGTCCTTTATAGTCATGGTTTAAAGTATCGATACACCCAATACCTGATATGCAAGAACATGCGTATCAGGTGTTTCAAGGGGCACACTTCCCTTTGTTCTTATTTTTTTCCCAAAATCTGATAAGCATTGGTCATAGGCCTGGCTAACCCCTGAAACAACCCAAACCCCTTGGATTTGAGTGTATTGGTACCCCAAAGATACGATACGATTTTGGACCTTGTTTATAACCCAAGAACTACCTTGCCACCCATAACTATGTTAGTTACATATTGATTTACATAAAAATGGAAATGGGACTACACTAGCTAATCACTCCAGCAGACCACAATATGAAAGAAGAGGAAAAAGAAGTGCCAAAAATATAAGGAAATGCCTAGGTCTAATTTCAATGTATTTTCTGTAAAGTTGATGCTGGAGATGTTTTCATGACAACTTGATCATGGGAACGAGGGGTATCCAGAAGCAGGTGTATCTTGTTATCAGATTTTGGTGAAAAGCCAAACTTCGATTTCTGATGAAATGGACTAAATGGATTTTCAATTGTCCCAGTACTGCCTTTAATATAAGTATCTTCTGAGAGGAGAGCTTGCAGGAGGTTTTATTGCCTTTTGACTTTCAGGGAATTATTTCCCTATTTCCCTTCTTTTCTTCACATGGGTCTCATGTATTTTCTGTAAAGTTGATGCTGGAGATGTTTTCATGACAACTTGATCATGGGAATGAGGGGTATCCAAAAGCAGGTGTATCTTGTTATCAGATTTTGGTGAAAAGCCAAACTTCGATTTCTGATGAAATGGACTAAATGGATTTTCAATTGTCCCAGTACTGCCTTTAATACAAGTATCTTCTGAGAGGAGAGCTTGCAGGAGGTTTTATTGCCTTTTGACTTTCAGGGAATTATTTCCCTATTTCCCTTCTTTTCTTCACATGGGTCTCACGCATGGTCCAAAATCTATTGTTCTAACTTTTTCTTTAATAGATTGAATTCCTGGTCTACATAAGATTGTAGGGGTTGTAGAAGGACTTTAGAAGAGTTCTATATATAGAGGTAATGATATGTTATATCCTTGTTTAATTATGCTATTTTTTTACAATCTAATTCTTAGTTCCTTAAAGCAATAAAAATCTATTTTTTCTTTCTGAAAACTTGTAAGAAAGGCTTAGAGTTTAATTTCATGTTGAGTTTGTTGCATCAGGGTCCTTACATCCTTGAACTGCTTTTCCTCCAGTTTGACATGTGTATGCACCTTTTCTCTGGCCACTGTTTTCTTCATTGACCACGTCTAGACGCTTTCATTGTCATTTCTGTGGTTATGTGCTAGAAAAATGTAATTCCAGATGCAAGAGAAGTGTCGCATGATATGCAATGAAAAAACCTATGAGCCTCTTAGAGGCACCTCGGTTCAAAAAGGCAAAAAAATATATTGTAAGCTTATCCTACTTAGAGAACTATTCCTCAGTCTCTGGAGATCTATCCTCTTGGATGGGGAGAATTGACTTGAACTCTAGAGCATATACTTAAAGACTTCTTTTGATATAGGGTCCTGTAGTTGGTAATGAAGTCTAGATCAATTTTGACCATGTTTTCAAATTTTACCACTATTCCAGCATTCCCTACAAGTCTGTTTAATAAAGGAATTATCATAGAATTGTTTGAATGCACTATTACTCCACAAGATACAAATTGATACCTGCAACACAGCTGACCACATCTTTGTGCTGCCGGATGCTCTGCACCAATCTTCCATCATTAAGAGAGATTACCTGGAAACTATTTTCCCAATTACCACATGAAATCAAAAAATTTTCTGATGGTGTTTGCATTGTAGCAAAGCATTGTGCTCCAAGCTCAATATTTTCTGCTGAAGGACTACCAATTTTACGAGGAGATAGAACATCAGAACCAATTCCAAAAAAAGGATCCTGCAAAAATGTTGACAAGAGATAAGAAAAAGGTTTACTCCATAAATTTTACTGGGAAATGGTGACTAGACCATTAAATAGTACAATGCAAAAACTGTATTAGAATCACCATTCTCACCTGTGAGCTAGAGAAGGTAAAGTTCCCACCAGATTGCAGTTGGGTGGTCAACCACATTTTGACTGACATGGTGAGTCCCTGGTTCACAAGGACAATGTTTGATTCCAACATACCGACAAATAATACAGCAGATGGTGGACTTGTTGTATTAGAAATGATTGATGTCAAACTTATTGAACCAGGAGCAAAATATAAAGGATGAGCAATAGGAATTGGTGGGCCTCTTCTTGGGTGTTTTTTACGAAAAATCTGGATTGGTGTCTGCCCAAAATTTGCAATTTGGTCTTCAATGGCAGATCTTTGCAGTTCATCTTCCATTGTTTCAAGATCAACAGCACCCTCGTAAGTCAAGTAATAAAAGATATTTGCTGCCTGGAGATCCAACATAATTTTTGAGATTAATGAACCCGGGATTAGGACTGAACCCACATAGTTGGGATTAAGGTTTAGTTGAGTTGAGCTGAGCTGAGAGCTACTAACTAAACATATATGCAAGCACATACCTCTACTGCAGGTTTTCCACGTTGCTTGTAACCAAAAACCAGATCAATCCAGTTATGGAGATTGGAACTTACATATTCACTTTCAAGAGCTTCTCGGTTTTTGTTTATAAATTCCTCGGGGGAGCCCTGTGTAATTGATTGCAACTCAGAAATTTAAGGTCCTGATAAACTTTTTATTGGACTCCAAAAGGAATTATTTGATTAAAAACAGCCTCTAGTTTTCCTCTCATGCCATTTCCTAGCAAGATCTAAAACAAAAATAGTAATAAAACCACTACTCAACACCCCCAATAAATTGAAAAAGCAAGTGAAGCAAGATAAATTGAACTTAAAGAGAATGCATAGCAATACATTACTGAATCTACCATAAACAAAATAAGAAAAAGAAAAATTATAGTAATAAAGGAAAGCTTGAAAAAGAAAGAAAACCTAAAACAAAATTTCCCCTTTTCAATAAATGAATGGATTTTACTAAAAGATAAAAATATGGTATACTAACCTGATTAATACAATTATCTTTCATTGGGCTTGTGGCACCTTGGGCTGCCCTTTCTTTTTGACATACGTCCCAAGGCTTGTATTACCTCATATTACAATTAATAAATTATCTTTCATTGCTTAAAAAATGAAGAATCCAAAGGCCAAAAAAGGTTTCTGGGGAACCTAAAATTTTTCACCCAAAAAAAAGAAACTTAAATTTGAAAACCATTTAGATGAATGTACTTAGCAAAATATGATGATCAAAAGAATATCAGCAAGAAGCAAGATTAGGAATTTGTAGTCAAAATGAAGATGAAGAAGAGGAGAAACAAAGAACATAGGAGATGTGTAATAGATACATACTAGGTCCATTTTCATACCCTCAGACATGTAATAGATGTCAAACTTTCTAGGTATACATAGAGAACAGGCAAAAGAAATGATTCAGGATGCTGAAAGACATTTTTCTGCACTATTCTTTATTTTAAATAAAAAATATACTAAACTGTTCTCCCAAGGCTCCCTTGATTAACTAAAATAGTAGCATATAAAGTGAAAGTCTTCCACTAGCTATCAGAAGCTAGATGGGACTTAATATACCTTGGCCCAAGGAGGTAGAATAACATCTCCTAAGGGTTCACCGCCCTGTTTCACACCCAAATAATACGAATTTGAGTTAACAAGAAACTCTGGCATGTAAAAGAATTCAGGTATTAACTCCTTCACATCACTTGTATTAGAAAGACAATTGCGATATGTGCCCTCAATACTTTGAAAAAGGCGATCTGCATGGTCAAATTTACCACCCTGGAGAAAAAAAAAAGTGTCGATGTTAGCAGCATAGAAAGCATACCAAACCTCATACTTTCAGGTCCATTTGAAACCTTAAAGACCTTTCTTTTTTGAAGATGTTACAGTTAAAGAAATTGTGAATAAAGTAAAATGATTTAAGGAAGACCATGCAACTAAAATTGGATCATTTCTTATTTAGATGACAAAAATTGATTGATGAAAATGTAAATGTTTTTGTTTAAATCTATGATACCTGCAACATCCGGTGTAGAGCTGTGAAAGGCTCCAACCTAAGTAGGTAGAAAAGAACGATTCCCATGCTTGAATAATGAGAACCGTAATAGAAACTGCAACAAAAAGCACAAGGGCACTGCTAATGAGACAACATTAATTCATAAAAGGATGGCCACTCTCATAACTATGGAAAGCAATATCCTTGGTAGTTAGGACCTACCGAGTAGTGTCCTTATTTTCTTTTGGTAATTACTAGACTACCCTGCCTCCCCTCCCAAGACTTAACATAAAACAGCTCTCTCAACAGCAACTATGTGGATTATCATCTTTTATACCCGTATTATATGGCTCTTGGATGTATGGAAACAAGATTTGGATGAGATGCATTTTCAATAGCACCTATCTATATTTTACTGTTATACATAGATGTTCTCTGATAGTTATTTGAGACTCTTTGTTTTATCATGCTTTTTTAACATTCCCTGTAAGTTTTATATAAATTAATACTTAATCCTTCGCATATGTCTGGAATTTCCCAATTCTTTTCAAGATACTGAATAACATTTGCAAGTAATTTTGAAACATTGCCACTTTTCAAAGTGGTTATCAAGTGGAAACAGGAAACAGTCTTGGTTATAGTTAATAATGCAAAAAATGCTATGTTCTAAAATAAGGTACACATGCATACCTAGGAATATCAGGATCACAGAAATTACGATATCTATCCTCAAAAACCTGCATGTGAATTGAATTATAAGGATAGGACAATTGTAAAATAAGGAAAATAGTAACTGATAGGGAAAGCTCTAGTTAAACAGGAGATAATAGTCACCTCAAACCGTTTCATATCCAAAGCTCCAACAGGTTTTGAGAGGTCACGAAAAGTTGAAGACTTGTTAAAGTCGAGTTTCTCAGAAGAATAATCAGCCAAAACCCAAGGAAAGACAGGATATTGAGTCAAATCGTTGTATGATCTGCCTGCAAGTGTATTAAGTATCATTAGATATTCAAAGTTGGTAATATCCCTTCTCCTCCAACTCTCTCTTGCAGTCTCTGCCATCTCCAGTGCCACACGTCTATCAACAAAGGAAATAATTGCATTCTTGTCACGGTTACTTCCTTTTGGAAATAATAGTTCATTTCTGCAGGAAACTATCAAAGTTCCAACATCTTTGGCATCTTTCTGTGATGCAAAATTCAAAAATATGGGTGCAACTGAATTGTTGAAGAAAATCTCTATGGCAGTGTATCTTAGCAAATAGCGAGTCCAATGAACAGCTTTTATCTACCACAAAGAGCAAAACACAGCAATGTCAGACTAAAGGCATCAAATATGCAAGTAGTTACAAGTGTATATCTACAATCTATGTTTACCACCTTGGAGACACGCCATCTCCGGTGGCGTTTAATTTTCTTCAGTTTTCTTTGAAGAGAAGTTTCATCAATCACATCTGTGTTATCAAGGCCACTCTCTTTCTCAGAATACGCGTCAACATCCAAGGGAAATTTGGTTAAGTTCTGCTTATGGATTCCTCCCAATTGGCTAGATTTGTTAGGAACAGAACTGCTTGAAGCACAAAAGCTATTGAAAACAGATGATCCTCCGGTACCTTCAACCAGAAACTCACCACAGAAACGGAGGACAGTTTTCATGACTGCTAAATGCCCAGCTAATTTTCTCTTAGGTGTGACAAGCATGCAAGGAAGAGACATGAGAACCTGAACAAAACGAAGCCAGACATTAGATGCTGCACTGCATCTACAAGGAAAAGGTAGAACACATTTATGTACCAGCGCATACCTCACTAGTTTCTGTCTCCATTGTATTGGAGGAAGCATCCTTTCTATCTTGAACATCCTGGTCATTGCTTTCTTTAGAAAGCTCAGTTTCATTTACCAAAGAATCATCAGGAGAAGAGGCTTTTTCTGCACTTAGTTCAGTGTCACTTTCACAAGGCTCTGAGCTTCCCTCATCTGTAATCCTACGTACTCCTTTCAATAGAAGGCGCTTCAATTGTTCAGGAATATGACTCACCAAATTAGTTTTGCTTTCATAGGCCAGACGACTGGGACCAATGGAAACAGTAGATGGAGGATGACATAGCTTTTCATTAAAACAATAATTCCGTCTTAACTTGGGTCTACGCCTCCATGCATCTTCTGATTTCTCAAGTTTCCAATGAGTAATGGTACTATTTGGAAAAGGATTAGCAGACCATGGACCTCTCTCATCAATCAAAGCACGAAACATGTGAATCCACTTCTCCTGCTCAAGAACAACTAACTATTATTACACATGCTGGTAATAACTTTAATCAATAGCCAGATAAGAAAAAAAAGTCATAACCATAGATGCTTCAATGATAAGTAGATAACACATAACATCAAATTAAATTCTTACAGCGACAATCTGCTGTTCTTCATCATGGGAAAGCTGAAATGCAGCTCTTCTGCTCTTGTCTGAAGAAAGAATCATGCTCAAGCTACTTTGTATCTCATCTTCAAAAACCCTATTCTGGTAAGATTCTGTAGATGAATTCTCATCCAACCTCAAACAGATCTCATGCAACTGCTTTGCTCTATCAGATTTTGAAGTCTTCACATATTTTACCTCATCAGCTACCTGAGAAATAAAAATGAAGAAAATTACAATACTGTGGTTTAAGAAAAAAATAGATTCCAGATAGATTAATCAACAATATCTTTGAAATAAAACATTAAAACAGCTAAATGACCCTGCTGATATTTCATGAACCAGTATGTAAATAGGATTTTTCTGTCCCTCAGTTCCAACTACCTAATGAAGGCCCAACTAAGAGGAAAGAGTTACCAATACAAAGGATTGTTTTGACATTTCAATGTCATTTCCAATTTCAATTACGACTGAGATTGAAGGATATCTGAGCATACACTTAAATAATAAAGTCAAACACATGAAAGTAAAAAAGGAACAAGTAATGACAAACCGCAGTAAGGACTCTATCCTTTTGAATTAGACCATGAAAGGTATTTGCTTCCTTCACATTGCTGCCAGAATCAGATGAATCATCTCTTCCCACAATACCAGTAGCCAGCATGGACTTCCCACAGTTCACTGTTTCACGTATCAGGTGCGATATGACATGAAAACGTGCCCCATCATCAAGCATTCCATATTGCGATCTAACTGTGAGCAAGGACCTAGGCACAGTTGCAACTGGAAGTCATATCCCTACTAGTGTATAGAAGTGCACTTACGTATCTTCAGTTCTATGTTAGGAGGAATTTTAGATGATTCATTTCAAAAAGAGAATAACCAGTTTCAATTTTACATGGAAACATGCATGGAGAACCCGTACCATATGAATAGCTGTAATCTGCCCTTGCTTTGCTCATCATCAGCAGCAAGCAGACAAGGAAGCAGTGAAATGAACTGCTGAATACATCTAGATGCTCTTTCTAGATCAGCTCTGCAGAGATATAGGATGACAAGTCGAAAAATAATTTTTGGACATTTTTCCCCTCTCAGTACCATAGCTTTATCAACACTTTTATTTGGTTTTCCACCCAATGCATTGCTAATTCCACCTGATACAACAACTGCAGCCATTTCAGCAGCTGGAATATTCAATGATTCAACTAGGACACGTGCCCGTTGGCCAAAAGATGGCCCCATTGCTGGTGAAGATTTAACTAGCATTTTGCTTAGTCCTTTTCCATTCATCGCACTGATAATAAGCCACAGCTTGTCAAACAATCTCCACCAGACATCATCTATTATGTCATCTTCATCTGAGATAGGTGGCTTACAAACTTGTGGATGTCTGTGAAAAGAGAGTAATTTGAGATTAAAAAGGATGGATCAAGAATTATACAAATAAGATTGAAAAGAAAAAGACATTAGTAAACACAAAAGATATTCATGAATGGAAATGTGCAGATATGATATCACAAAGCATAGAGTAATGCATATTATATTTATAAAATTTATTTGTTGTATATTCTCGTGGGAGGTATCATCATCCATGCCTTATCCCAACAGGCAGGTGAGCCCAAAATGAACCTCTTATAAAATAGCACAGTCTCACCAAAGCAAATGGTGGCTTGGGGATTGGTAGATTATGCTCAAGGAACTTGTTTCTATTGGGGAAATGGTTATCAAGGTTTCTGTGGAGATTGAGAACCTTTGGCACTCTGTCGTCCAAAGTGTTCATGAATTTCATGTGAATGGATGGAATGTTTAACTGACAAGAAATGCAACACTTGAGATACTCTTGGAAATATATTGATTTCCTCTTGGAATCCTTCTTGTAGTTTGTAAGGCACAAGTTTAGTTATGGGAATTGTGTCAATTTTTTTTTGATAGATAATAGTAATTTTATTAATAAAAAACAAAGATACATACAACAAAATCTCCACAAAGAGGTGCGAGGTGCAGCCTCTAAACTATATCATAAAGCTTACAAATGAGCCCAAAAAAGCTGATTCCTATGTACCCCTTGTTTGGGTAAAAAATCTTCTAACCCATTTGCCAATCTTCTTTCTCATTGAACTGTGACTGATATATTTGATGTTAACCATTTGAACCTTCTCAAAGCCCCTCTATAGGACCAGGTTGCAATCTTCGGCTCTTTTAACCACCCAAGAACCAGTTTAGAGTCACCTTCAATGAATAAGTGTTCCACTGCAAGCTCCTTCGCAATCTCTGCTCCTTTTAGAACAACTTGGACATCTGCAATAACTGAATCTCCCATACCAATAGGACCAGAATATAAAGCCATGATCTGCCCCTCAGCATTTCTGAAAACTCCCCCAATTCTGGACAGCCCTGGGTTACCAAGGCTGCTGCCATCAAAATTTAATTTAATAACACCTTCAGGAGGCTTCCATTCCACCAAAGGCTTAATTCTAACAGCAGAACTTTTGGCAATTTGCTCCCAATTCCTCCATATGTCATCAAAGGAGAAAGGTAAAAACAGGTCCAATGACTTTTCCCAACATATGGGCCTATTTAAAATACTTTTCCACAAACCAATCTCATCCCTCTCCTTATCAATGAAAATTCTGGCATTCCTTTCCTCCCAAACAACCCACACCAAAGCAGCTCTCGCAGGAAATTGTGTCAAATTTTGGACAAATCTCTGGTGGACAATGTTCATTTTTACTTTTTCCCCTGAATAATTTGCTTTATTGGATCTCAAAGACTCTCATTTTGTCTTGTGTTTCTAATTTTATGGCTAATCTCTCTTGGAATTTTGGGTTCAGAAGAGGCTTAAGGCTAATGAACCAGATAAGGAAATTCGTCTTGCTTTAATACCCTTAGCAGTTTTTTTTCTTTGACAGAGATTTCCATAAAAGAATTTAGGTTGTTGAACCAAGTTGATCCTAGGGCTGCAAATGGATCGAATTGAAGTCGGATAGGGGTATATCCGAATCCGTTCCAATAAGAATATGAGAGACCCGAATTCTATCTGATATCTGATAGATATATAAAACAGATTCAAATTCAACTCATTTACATTAGGACCATTTGATGCTCTTTATTTTCAGTCAATGTTCAGATTTTGCCATTGCATTCCAGATTGTATTTCTTCATTCCTGATAAACTTTTTTGATTGATAACCTAATAAGAAGTATTTGTTCATGAATTAATCATCAATTCTAGGTTTAAACTATCAATTCCAAACTTCTGGCAAATTCCTAGTTTCCTAATCTCATATCCTAGGGCTCTCTTTAAATCATGATCTGAATTTATCTTGTTGATGCCTCTAATTGGTCCTACCCCTTCAGTTTCCCATTTGGGTTTCTTGAAGTTTATTTGGAAGCTTTGCCTTCTTTACGATAATCCTATTATAAAGAAAACCATTTCTACAAAGCTTCAAATTTTAGAAAAGGTCAGATCATAGTATTTAGGGTCATTGCTTGGTTCAATGGTAAAATCTCAGGCTGACAAGCATGAGAAAGTGGGTTCAAGTTTGAGAGTGGCCAATCCGTGAAAGAATATAGTGAAGGTTAGGCCCACATCCAATCCACCCCTTCCAAGACCCTGAATAGCTGGGACTGACATTTTCTTATGGCCCTTTTATGGAAACAAAATCATTTTATGTAATACTTAAGGCTTATGCAAACAAAATATCTAACACAAATTTGGAGGTAAGAAAACATACATTACTAAGAGTACTAAAATTGGTGGGCATAACATTTTTATATAACCAATGAAAGCACAATAAGCATTACCTGGGAACTTGGTCATCAACTTCTCCATGCATGGCCTCAAAAATAGAAGAGCTCAGATCTTTGTTACTCTCTAGTTCTTGGCAATCAGATAAAATACCTGAGCTACTTCCAGGATACTGCAGGGAAAGAATTATGTTACTTTACCTTTGAATCCACTGATTGTTGAAGTATGTAAAAAGAAACAAAGTAAATCCATACTTTGCATGATATCATGTGGTGGGCGGTATTGCATTGTATGTCAATTTCAAGAAGCCAATAATCCGAACTAGAAAAAGGATCTATAACCCCTAAGATGTAGGTTACATAAATCTTGAAAAGCAAAAAGTGAAAGATATATGAAAAGAACACCTCAGAAAGGAAGCTAAATGAAAGGGCTGTAAAGGGCTTAATGTTCCACATGCATGCAATCAAGTAAATAGCTTACCTTTTCGGAGGAATAAAAAGTGAATAACTTATCTTTTCCATTATTTTATTAAGACAAACATATTGCAGGTTGTCCTACTACAGAAACTTATTTTGCTTGTTTTCATTCTCCCTATGTTTTGTCTCTTCTTTTCTCCCTAATATTATGGTATCAGAGCACATTATTCTAGTTTGGTTAAAGCATCGCATAAGTGTCAACTATGCAACCGCCTAGGCATTTTGGAGGCCCATCACCTAGGCACAGAACAAGGTAGGTAGTATAGTTATAACCATCTTAGTGGGGCCAATTAACTGATTTTTATATACTCATATTAAAATGTGCAGCCTATTTTGGGTTATTTTGAGTGTATATATAATGGTTACTGAAGCAAGATAATTGATTAATATGTATAAAAAAGCATTCTTAATTAATATAACTCATTGCTTGAATTTAATGGTAAATCTTGGGTTGACAAGTGTAAGAACATGGATTCAACTCCAATGTGTCTCCTTGGAAAGCTATTCATAAGGTTCTTGAGCATTTTCTTATTCACATCAGGTTTGGTCTCAACTCTGGTGATAAAATTAAATTCTGGAAAGATCTATGGGTGGGTGAGGCTCCTTAAGGATACTTTTCCTTCGTTGGAATTTGGGCTTCTGCAGGAATGTAAGTGATACAGAACTGGACTTTGTTTCATATCTCCTACAAATTCTTGAATCGGTTTTCTTTGATGACAGTGAGGGGGATAGTTGTATATGGTCTAGTAATCCTTCAGGGGTGTTCAGCTGCGCCTCTTTCTTTAAATCCTTGTCTTCTTCAGTTACTTCTTCACCTTTCCCAGTCAAAGAAGTTGGTGCCATGCTGTTCTTCACAAAGTGAGTGCCTTTTGCTGGGAGGTTTGTCATTGTGCTATTAATACTTGCAACTTGTTGCAGAGGAAATGTGGGGTTGTGGATATGAATTTTCCATGGCTGTTATTCCCCTAGATGGCCTTATTACCTGGAGTGGTCGAAGGGAATCAAACTCTATATCACTGCAAGGAGAAAAATAGGATACATATATGGAAAAGTTAAAGAACCGAAAATTTGGAAATGCTGACTAGGAAGTCTAGGATAAATGGAACCAAGAAAACAATATGGTGATGTTGTGGCTGCTTGTATCTATGCTACCACAAGTGAGGAAAAATTTTGTGGAGATCTGGGAACAAGTAAAGTCCACCTACTCAGATCAGAGGCACTATGCAAAATTACCAGTTGCAAGCTGCATCTTCGACTTCTAAACAGGGGGAAAGAAGTCTTTCAGTAATTCAGATTTGACTTCATTTTGGAAGGAGTTATATCACTATTGGAATATGAATTGGAAATGTGATGAAGATGCCAAGGCCTATAAATCTGGTGCAGTACGGAAACAAAGCACGCTGAGAAAAGCTTCAAAGAAAAGAGTAGAAGTCGAATTATTAGGAAGAAGAATTCTTCACCGAATAATTAAGAGAAAATCAACATAAAAAAACTCCCTTAGCCTTCCCCTAGTTACTCTTTATATAGGCTTACACCCTTATGGCTCCTACAAGAAAGTTTCCTAATCTATGAAAAACTCCACAATAGAATCCTACTAACTTGGTAATTTTGAACTAGAATAGAAGTCCTGTGCTGACACTAGCTTGGTAAATTCAAACTAAGATAGAAATTCCATGCTGGTACTAACTTGGTAAGTTCGAACTAAGATAGAAGTTCTGCGCTGGTGCTAGCTTGGTAAATCCGAACTAAAATAGAAGTTTCATGCTGGCACTAACTCGGTAATTGATTACTTAGTTAGATTAGTAACGTCATCGAAGCTTCTTATATGTCTTGGAGTGGTCCCAACTTGCATAGAACTTATTGGCCTTCTATACTGCATCAAAATCTCTGGTTTCCCAGCCATTGGTGTTTGCTTTTCTTTTGGGGCTGAATCCTACATATGAATCTCTTAAAGTGCAGATCCTAGGTAGTAAAGATATCCCTTCAGTCCAAGACATATATGCCATGGTGCAATTTGAAGAAAGTAGGAGAAATGTGATGAACAGTTTTGAGGGGGAGTCAATTGCTTTGACAACAAAAGGGGGAGTAAACACAACTAGTGGGAATTCTTTTAAGAAGGGTGATTTCCGGAACAGAGTAGATAACAAGGGCAAACTTTTGTGCACTCATTGCTAGAGATCTAGGCACACTAGTGATACATGCTAGGATCTTCATGGGAAGCCAAAGTCGACTCAAAAGTTGAGTAAGAAGTCAGGCCAACAATGTCTTTTAATTACCACAGCTTTCCATGTGACTTCCCATACCTTAGATTTCCCTTGGATAATTGATTTTGGAGCCTCGAACCACATGACGGATAAGTCCAATTGGTTTTAGTCCTACAACCTGCTTTCTAGGAGGGACAAGGTGAGACTAGTTGATGATTCATTCTTCACCATAGCTGGTCAAGGCACTGTCTCTCTACCCTTTGGCCTTACTCTTTCTAATGCTTTGCAAGTTCCCAAGTTACCTGTGATCTTGTTTTTTTGTTAGTATTATTACCAATTCATTAAATTGCTCAGTAACCTTTTTCCCTTCTTGTGTGTTGCAGAGGTAGCATGGTAGATGGCCTCTATGTACTGGAGAATAAGGCTGGTCTTTCAATCACAGAGTCCAATAGTCAGTCTAGTAAGACTCGAGTCTATATGTGGCATAATCGTCTTGGTCATTTATCTTTTGAATTGTTGAAAATTTTGTTTCCAAAGTTGTTTAAGTGAATGTCCATGTTAGAATTCACATGTCAAACTTGTTAATTGAGCAAACATTGTAGAAATCATTTTCCTTTAAGAAATGGTAAATCTGGTTTTCTTTTCCACATTGTTTATTGTAATGTTTGGGAACTTGTTACTTTGCCTACCAAGACATGATACAAGTATTTTATCACACTTATTGATGATTACTCTAGATTTACATGGGTGTACCCAATGCAATCTTGAAACGAAGTACCCAAATTTGTAAAGGATTCTCAACGCATGATATTCACCTAATTTCAAATGAAAGTCCAAAATTCCCAGTTTGACAATGTCAAAGGATATTTCATAGTGATCTCATAGAGTTTTTCATTTCGTGTGGCTCCCTTCACCACACAGTTTTTCACCGTCAATCTCTTGAAATTGCTCATGAATTATTACTACATATGAATGTTCCCAAATGCTTTTGGATGGATGTTGTATTTTGTGCTGCATATCACATCAACTACATGCCCTCTTAGTTGTTAGAGTACAAGGCCCACATTAACTCTTGTTTCCTAAAGCTCCTTTGTTCTCTATACCTGTAGCGTTGTACGCATGTTTAGTTGTAGTTGTTTTGTTCATGACTTGTCTCCTTGGGGTAAACTTGACCCTCGTACTATTCCCTATGTTTTCCTAAAGTGCCCTTCTTGTCAAAAGGGTTATCGGTGTTTTGGTGTGGGTAGAAAAACAAATTACATGCAACACTTCAAGTGTACAACAATAAGCACAAGAAATACCAAGCTAAAAACAACAAAACAAGTTGTATTTTTAGGGATTTCAGACCTGAACATGAAGTAGAACCCCTCCTGGAACAGTTCCGCTATAGTAATAATGGCATAAAGCTGGCCTCCCATGCGGACACGCAGCGATAGAGGGATTAGAAGGTGCCAAAATGGGTTGACTCCTCAAAACCCATCTCCCAATACTTGAAAACCCTAGCTAGGGCTGAGCTACAACTTAAACAAGGGAGAAAGAACCAAAAAGCCCCTATAGGGACAACCCCCTTCTCTTTTATAAATCCCAATGGTTTGCTGAAGAAGCCAATTAAAATATTTACACATAAACCCCTAGAATGCTTCCCTCTCATAAGCAACTCCTTAAGAATAAAACTAACTTCAAATGAACCCCCGAAAGATACATTTGTTACAAAAAGATCCAAGAGACCAAAACCCAAGAGATGTGCTCTCATCTGCCCTTGACCAGAATCTGAACTATAAAATGACGAAAATACCCCTGGACCCAAATTGTCAATAAAGCTACATTTGACCTCATCATGTTTTGACCCTATATGTAGGAAGTACTATGTTTCTATCTATGTGTCTTTCTTTGAGAGTGAACCTTTCTTCCCTATTTCTCTTTAGAGGAAAAGTAGGGTTGAGGAGAAACTGGTTCAAGTTGTAGATCCAACACCCTCCTCTTCTTGATCCTCCTCCATTCCATGTTTCCATTTGCTGTTGTAAGGGCCAGCCAAGTTCAAGAGCCGTGGATCAACTTGAAGTTAGTACCATCAACATCATCAGATTCTTGAAGGGTAGATCCTATCAATGTTTAAAACGCGGAGGTGTGACGCGAGGTGTTCCACTACCTAGAGGCATGAGGCATAGTTCAGAACGCAAGAGGCGTAAGCCTCCTTAAAAGGAGGGGGGTTAGGAGGAGGATGAAGAGGGAGGGGGATCTTATTTTTTCTTTATTTTTAATACAAATCTTTTATATTACGAATAAAGATGCATAACATTAGTTGAAAGGGGGGGGGGGTCTTGTTGAAGCGAAGGGGGCAAACCACTTTCTTTCCACTTATCTTTTCTTCCCTTCCCTTCCCTTTCCTTTTCTCTTTTTTTCTTCTCTTTCTTTTTCTTTCCCTTCCCTTTCTTTTCCTTTCCTTTCCTTTCCTTTCCTTTTTTTTTCTTTTTTCTTTTATTTTCTGCCTTTTTATATCAGATGTGCATGAGGCGTACGCCTCTAGCACGCCTCATGAAAAAAGTGCAAGAAGCATATGCCTTAGAGGTGTCAACACCTCTGGCATATGCCTTAGGGCGTTTTGGGAACGCAACGCCTAGAAGCGCGCCTCCAGGCATACGCCTCCCACGCCTTTTAAAACACTGGATCCTATATAGCTACCTTTGTTCCCATTGTTGTGTCTAACCCCATTGCCACATATACCTCTATTGTTGATGACCTGGACATCCCTATTACACAAAGAAAGGGGGTCAGGTCCTGTACTACTAAACAACCCATTTTCCATTTTACTTCCTATGAGAAGACCTCACCTTCTTTCCATGTTTATGGATAGATTGACACTAGTTCAGTCCTAGTTTAGAAACAAGAGAGGAGAGAAGAAAGAAGAAAGAAGAAAGAAAGGGTTAAGAGTCCGACCGGAGAGAAAAATCTCACTCTCAGCCGACCCACCTTGTATTTATAACTTATGCATTATGATACAAAAGACAATCTATGACCCTATTAAGTATGAGACACAACTTAAACACAAATAAAATAGACAACTCACTTCTAATTATATGACAAAATGATCAAACTACCCCTTATTTTGTCAATTCTAACACTCCCCCTCGAGTTGGTGAGTATATATCATATAATCCCAGCTTATTACATATGTAATCCACTCTCCCACAACTCAACCCTTTTGTAGACAGATCTGCCCACTAATTTCTTGAGCTTACATGTGTTGTACTTATCACCCCACTGATCACCTTTTCTCTTACAAAGTGACAATCAACTTCCATATGCTTTGTTCTCTCATGGAAGACTAGATTGGAAGAGATGTGGATTGCAGCTTGGTTATCACAACACAACTTCATAGGCTTGTCAACTGAGAACCCCATCTCCTACAAGAGATTTTTCAGCAACAGTAGTTCACATGTAGTATGTCCCATGTCTCTTTATGGCAAACACTTTATTAACTAGTGGGGAAGTGTGTACTCCCTATGTAAGTTGTGAAGAACAGGTTGCAAATATCTTCACAAAAGGCCTACATAACTTACGACACAATGGCTTATGTGCCAAGTTGGGCATGATTGGCATCTATGTCCTAACTTGAGGGTGAGTGTTAAAGTTGTTAGTTGTTGTTTACTAGTGCTGCAAGGGCACTTGTATCCCTTTAATTTTTTATGTCGTTCTAATATAAATACAATGGCTGGCACCACCAGCCCACTTGTTGTCTCTCTAATCAACTTTTCTCTCTTCCTCTCTTCTCTTCTCTCTTACCCTCTCTCCCTTCTCTTTCCTCCTTTTCCTTTCTATTTTTCTCCTTTAGATCAAGAAAACAATCAACATTTTTTTTTCCATTGAAAAAAGAACAGAATTAATTATTCCATTACAAAATATTCTATCAAAAGCCTTATAAACAAGTTGAAAATTTTCGTTTTGTAATGAATGTAGGAAATAAAAAATATATTTTATTAGAAAAATGAAATAAGACATGAAGAGGTCAACAAAGAGTGAGGAGGATTCAGTAACACAGTTGAGAGTAGATAAGTTCATAATGTATTCCAATATCCTAACATAGGAAGGGACTGGATGATTCTGATTCTAAAGTACAGGAGCAGGGTGGTTGATGCAAGGGCAGCCAAGCATCTACTGAAGGGAACATGAGAAAGCTAACTCTTCAATCTTAAATCTATATTAAGTAGAAGTGATCAGTTAGGAGGGAAACGGTCTTTTGTTGGGTGGTTGAAGGTTGAACAGTTGAAGCTAATATGAGTACTGTTTCTTTGGGCTGGTTTCAATGGTTTTGCAATCTCTTAAGATAGACATGAACAAGTATATGGTTGGGTTACAGAGATGGAAAAAATTGACATGAACAAGTATATAATGTGAAAAATAAACAAAAATAAACACCTCTAATAGATTAATACCGGAAGATTATAGCCAAGTTCATTGATAAGCATCTCATCAACCAATCTTAAGAGATATAATGTGTTGTCTCGACATGGTTGCAAGACAAAAATGTCATCCTCAAATGACGCTTCTACAAGCTTTCCAATTACATCATCAAAGATATCATGAAGCAGGTCCCTTGAAATTTCCCCCTGCATACATTAAAACAAGTTGAATAGAGGCTGCACCATAGATACTGTAAGGGATGGAATAAAGATGGGAAAGATAAAATAATAATATCAGAATGAAATTATGGATCATTACTTGTTCACAATGCATGAGCAGGAAGTTTATGGTTTCTTCTAACTGCTGCCAGCCACCTTTTATGGAATTCATATAATGGCAAAGAACAATAGAAAATAAGCCCCTTGCAAGATGTTGTTCATTTATCTCGTTGTCAGCATGAACCTGAAACTCAGCCTTATAGTTTTTAAACACATCAAGTCTCAAAGATGTTGCTAGCCAGGAATGCCACCCATATTCCTGTTCACAATGATAAATGGTTAGATTACATTCTGATCAAATTAGATATGCATCAATAACATGCAATATACAATACCATAAGGGCTTCAATATTCGAAGGATTTGAATCAAGAAGATCAAGTAAATCTCTTAATATTTTCACTCTTTGAGCTGTTTCCTCACATCTTGACAAAAATCTGAAAATGAGCATCAACATCTGAGGAAGGAAGAAGTGTGTATTATTTCCCTTGATCTTGTGCTTTTCGGACTGATTATGTTTCTGTAATACCTGGACCTCAATTTCATGGTAGAAGTTAGAAGAAGTTCTCAATTTTAAAATATAAGTTAGAAGATGACTTCCATCTCATCCAAACCTAAATAATCAAAAAGTTGCATTTTCATATCAAGAATAAACCAGTCTATGGAAATAAAATTTCACATTACCTGTTTAGGGCTAGCACCACCAAGAAGCACATCAAACAAGGTTGCACACAAATGATCTGTTTGTGGAAACTTAAACAATCTGTCAGATATTGCAGAGAAAATCGGTTGCAGCCTAATACTGATCTTCTTATGGCTTTCTGAAAGAGATCTTGATCTTCCAACTGCAAGATTGAAAAATCTGGGTCCCTTCTTCTCAGAGGGAAGTCCAACCAAAAGTCTTCCCAAGAATTGCAAACTGAGCAATCTTATTGGCTCAAAGTCCCTACATAAACAAGTTGAAATAAATGTCAGTAGATATAGTAGTAGGGACTAGGGACCATCCTCGGCAATTAATATACAGTTTCTATTCACATGTACTTAGCATGTTGAATTCTTTACTAAATTCATTTATTAAGGAAAACATATATTAAGTTCTCAAAGTTGCACTTTTGATATCCTGTTTCCTCGTTGGTATTAAGATCTACCTTAAATCCCAACCTTATTCATCTTTACTGATTACATATAGCGAATACTTGACATGGCTTCACATCTTGACCACTATCAAAATCTTGATTCATTTATTTTCCTCTCTCCACTATTTCCCTAAGTGAGGTGCATTTATGAAGGAAATGAGCTTACAACTATGTGCACAACCAAATCAAGGTGGGAAGACCAGGAAGGTCCACACCTCATTAAGTAGTATCAGAAAGAATATACAAAATTTAATCATATTTATTTCCAGTAAAAATCTAGCCACATATAGAAGTGCAAAACATTTTACAGGGAAACAACCAATCCTTCTCTAAATCTCACTGTTGAGGTCTCTAAACACACTAATCACATTGATACACGTATAACAAGATTTACATGTAGTGGGATTCTTTAATTGGTTCTTTCATAGATGGAAGCACACAATGGAATTCTATCTGCCTACTCCTATGCAGCCATAGATGGGGACCCTAGTGGTAGATATTCAAGTTTTCTTGCATAAACGATCAGTTGACAGAAATTGGGAAATGTGCTACATGGAGGAATGTGAAGCAGTCAAGAAAATCTAACCACAAACTAGCTAGGGATGCCACAGGTTGGATAACTTGGATTGGGTAAGAGTTTGCCTTCACCCAAACCCAACCTCCAATGGTTCCAGCCTTCCACTCAAACCCCAACCCAACCTGACTTAATAACATGTAATTTTCAAACCTGCCCTGACCTTATAGGGTTCAACCTGATACCGACCTGACTTGACCCACAGTCTTTCAACAATACTTTTTAACACATTTTCAAAACCCAAGAGCCATTAATTTAATTTTCACTAAGGGACTCCTCATTTAACATTTGACCAGTTTGGGTTCATCCATTGACTAGCCTAGGGGTGTAATAATTATCAGTGTATACTTTGCTTCTACTTGCTGTTTGGGCATATTTCCTTATCTTGCTCCAGATCAAACTACAAATTTTAGTTTTGTCGTCTTGGATTGAGTTCTAGTATTAGATCAGTTCATAGCATGGATCAAAATGATATAAAAGGCAGTGGATGAGATGAGAATGCAAGATACTATGATCTGCTGTTTTCTTTCTGTCATTGGTGTTTAGAGATTATTTTATATATGATACCTCTCCTTGTGTTAGTTCCTAACAACAGTAGGTTGGATCATTCTTTTAACAAGTATTGTCTCCATAGGAGATAATATTGTAGATCTATTGAAACACCCTTTACCCATAAAAGAAATCATTACCATGGCATGATCCGCACCTTAGTGTATGACTGTATGCCTAATTTACTTTACCATATCAGTCATACCTCAAGCACCTTTGTAGACATTGATCTATAGTCACTGTGCTTATAACTTTCATTTAAGATCATCTCAGATTGATATTGTAATACAGAGGCATACCTATGAAGAAGATTAACAAAAATGTGACAGCCACCAAGAATATTGACTTGCTCCAAAAAAGAAGCAAGTAACTGCTTTTGAGAAACAGCACGAATAACCATATGTAATACATCCTCAATACATGCCATATCCTGACTTCTCTCAAAGAAAGCTATGAGAGCTTTGATATCTGATGCTGCAATGTTCTGCCTGCAAAATAAGATTTTGAAAAGTCATGTTGATAGAACTTTTATGTGAACACAGCTAACCAAAATGATTAGTAAATACAGCTAATCTACAATTTAGAATGCATGTAGGAGATATGCCAGAATTAGGAGACATTTAACCTGAGGCTCATTTCACCAAGACTTAATAGAAGGAGGCGGATTTTGTGAACTTCTTCTTGATTTGGTCTCTGTCCAATTATTCGTTTACTTATAGGATGAAGTAGAGGCTTGCTTCCAAAAGAAGAACGACCTTTTGGTTTATCCCAGTAAAATTGGCATATTATATCAATCACACGAGGGAGCCGACACAGGCTTGTGAGCAATCTTGGATCATTATCAAATTGCTGGATGAGGAACAAATATACTTCACGTTGGACTTTGTAAGTAGTATATACCCAGATAAATGGATTAAGAAATATACTTGAAACAACATCTTTCACCAATAGCTCTGACAACCCTGGTTGATAGTAGAAACCAAAGGTGAGATAAAACAATCTTGAAAGCAAATAAATCTAGATTCCAGAATAATGAAAGGTACATAACTTCTAATATAAACATATTTTAGCTTAAGATAAAGCCAAAGTTACATTACCACAGTTTGCCACAACATCAAACATTTGTTTCAAAGCTGAAAGAGTTTCTGAATTAAGTTGCTGTGGTGGAACAGATTGCAATAAAAATCCCAGGATAGAAAAGCCAGAAATAAGATGCATCTGTTGTTGATTTGCTAGATTATCATCTAGAAAAGAAGCTATTAGCTCAATAACCTCAGCTGCCATACGGTCTTTTGTGATATATCTAAGAAATGTATGCCCAAGTTGTTCATCTCCTGGATATTCAGACCCATCAAACTGAATTAAAAGAGGAAAGAATACTGAGACACCACCAACACAATAGATTATTTGTTGCAACAACCGACGGGAACATAACTGTGTTCCAGCCAGAACTACTGCTTCAAAAGAGTTCTTATCCAGTGCATGATCCAACAGTGGTGACACATTAAACAAAGTCCTACCACCACTGGCCTGCAAAAAGATAGTAAGATTTTTCAGTTCTATAATCAAAGATAAAGTAAAGGTGTCCCCATGAAATTGTACTAGTAAAGAAAATGCACCTGTGCGTTGAGACCAAAAACTATTTTAGATCCAAGGCCATCTTTTGCATCAAGAATTCCATTAGGCAATGGGCTGTCTGAAGAAAGTGCAGCTTCATTATCAAGAAAAGAATACATGTAACTTGGTCCTAGGAAATGGATACCCTGTATCTGCTCAGAAGAAATAGCATCTCCAAACAGATACACGGGACCGATCTGACCAAGAAAAGGAGATGAATCTTTGACAGATACCAAGCTTTCATCATCATAAACAGTTGGATTTGTTTTAGTTCCAATCGTACAGCGTGTCAAAGCTTCATTAACTTTTGCATACCTAACACATGACAAAAGACAAAGTTATGAAACAATTTTATCAAAAATGACTGAATTGAGAATGATAAAAAAATTAATGAAATACATGACAAAACACCTGCATTTTTCAGATGATACAAGACGACCATCAAGATAACACCGTAGTAGGCTTCCCCCAGAAAATGCTCTTCCAATGGTATGAGTTATGCAAAGAAAATGCCATTTCTTACGGACAAGATTGAGTTGCAATGAAACACATTGCCGTTTCTGATTGATAGACTGCAACAGCCATAATTTTACTGCATTAGACATTGACTATAACATTAAATAAAAATCCATCAAAATGGTAAGAAAATAACAAGCTGACCATCCAATCAATTTTCTGATTTAGAAGGTTATAAATCAAGAGACAGACAAAAAGAAAGGGAGAAACGGATGATTAGTGATCAGAATTCCAAAGCTTTCACCATCTGGCTCCAATTCCATATCATGGCATCTAAAAAGATGAATGATTACATTGAGCATACATGAGCTGTTACAAGAACAAATTAAAGAAGCAAGGCCAAGTATATGCCTACTATCATGTCTGATAGATCATTTGCCATCACGCTTAAGCAGTACTATCTACAAACTAAGTTATATATCTAGACTGAGGTAGGGTGGAGTAGAGTCCTTGATTCTTCTGTATGGTGGGCATGCCACCTGGTGGTTGATCAAACTCTTGGTCTGGATTGGATGTTTCTTAACATTCCAATTGGAACTCAAAAGGAGGTGAATGTGCTTGACTGAGGGTAACTGAACAAGGTAGTGGTTCATCATTGGCACTTCTACAACGAGTGAGACTGGGCAAATTTCCTAGATTGCAACCATCAAAATTCAGTCTCAAGGAATTTATCAAAAAAAAAAAAAAATTCAGTCTCAAGGAATCTGATGATTTGGAAGGGGTTCCAAATTAGATGTCATGTGTTATATCAGCATATTATTAGAAGCTAGACATTTTGGTAGTTAAAGTGAACCTCTCATTTCCATGCAATAATATTTAGCATTTAAACTTTGGAAAATAAAATAATGACCATATGTTATAAATAATATGAGAACAATTCAAGGAAAAAGGAACTTTAACCTCATAAATGAGCTTCTCTCTTCCAAGCATAGCAAAGCACCCCCTTCCATTTTCTGTAAGAAAACTGAAGAGGCCCATTGTTCCAGTTCTTGGAAAGTTCTCTACCCTGATCCAACACGAAAAAGAAAACCCCTTATTGTGCGGCCACTGCACTGGTGTTTTTATTACAATTCCCTTTAAGAAAAAAACAAAGAAAGAAGAAAGAGTCAGGTATCACAACCAAATTATAAAATTAAACAATATAAAAATAGAATAGATCAATGTATTTCCTGAATAATGATAATATTTTGGGTTGACAGATGTTGTACACATATGTTTAGTACCACAAGGGTACTTTTGTAATTTCCACATTTTTATGTTGTACGACCATCCTAGTATAAATAATAACATACTGCACATGCCTGCAGCATTCTTTTGGACTCTCAGTCCTCTCGCCTCTCCTCTCTTTCTCTTCTCTTGTTCAACATGGTATCAGAGCAAGTCGTCCAGGCCTGAAGGGTGATGTCGAGCAAATCTGATTT